AGGAGGAGGAGGAGGAGGGGGAGAAAACGTTACCCCAGCTCTGGTTCTGGACCCAGCGAGTCATGACCCAGCGGTTCTGGACGGGCCTCACCCTGATTGGACCGGCTGCAGCAGGCGGTGGTGCCGGTAGCCCCGCCCCCCGGCCGTCATGGCGACGCAGGCGCAGCTCTTGGCGTCGCTGCAGGCGCCGCTGCAGTCGCAGCAGGTCTGGAACAGCGCCGGGTCGCGGCTCAGGAAGCAGCCGTGCGGCCAGCGGTCCTTCCGGTAGCGGAAGCCCGCGGGCCGGCCCACGCCTTCGCCGAGGCACAGTTCCACCGGGGTAGGCTCCGCCCCCCGGCTCAGGTCCGGCTTGGCGTCGGCGGGCAGAGAGGGAGGGTCCAGTTGGACCAGGCGGTTGAAGGTGAAGAAGTCCACCTGCAGGACGTCCAAGCTCTCGGTGGCCGCCAGGAAGGACGCCACGTCCTGGAAGTTGCGCAGACTGAGGCCGCAGGGCGACTTGTAGATGACGTCCCAGTCCTCGTCCTCCGTGTCCTGACCCGACCCCAGCGGGGACAGCATGGCGCTGAGCCGCTTGAAGCCGCACAGCAGTGGCACCTTCAGCGGGTTCTGGCCGTACAGCAGCGAGCTGGACTCGGGGGTTCTGGGCAGGCTGGGCAGGCAGGCCTGGGGACAGACACACGGGGGGGGTTAACCGGGGGCGCGGTTCTGGTTCTGGTTCCGCCTGCTGCTCCGGTTTACCTTGCAGCACTGGTGAGGCTGGTAGTGCAGCTGGACCGGCGCCAGTGGCGGCAGCAGCCCCTCTCTGCCAGCAGGTGGCGGCGGGCCGTCCAGGAGGCAGGCGGGCGACGGCGACCACAGACTGCCTGAACCGATGACCACCTGGACCACCGACGAGTCCTGGTCCTGAGGAGGCGGCGGGGGGAGGCAGTCCAGGACCTCCAGGAGCCTCTGAGCCCGAACATACTCTGACACAAACAGAACCGTCAGAACGTCCCAGAACCCAGCGGGACCGACCAGAGTCAGACCGGATCGGACCCGAGTCAGAGCGGGACGGACCAGAGTCAGAACCGATCGGACCCGAGTCAGAGCGGGACGGACCCGAGTCAGAGCGGGACGGACCCGAGTCAGAGCGGGATGGACCCGAGTCAGAACCGATCGGACCAGAGTCAGACCGGAAAGGACCCGAGTCAGAGCCGATCGGACCAGAGTCAGAACCGATCAGACCCGAGTCTGAACAGATCAGAACCGAGTTAGAGCGGATCGGTACCTTTATCTTTGGCTGACTGGGTCAGCAGAACCTGCTTCAGGTGGTCCAGGTACTGGAAGACTGCGCTGAACACCTGCTCCACGTCGTTTTGGGCCCAGAAGGTTCTGGCTCGCTCTGCAGGACAGAACCAGGGAGGCCAGGCATTAAAGAGGTTCTGACTGATCCGGTTCTACAGAGAGGCGTCCTCATCAAAGCCTTTAACCCTTTATAGGCCAAGTTACCGTGCTTCATCACTAGCGTAGCCCCAACACATCTATGACGCAGTATTAGGACCACGATAGAGATTTATATCTAGAGAATAAAGTAACATTACGAGACTAAAGTTATAATTTTATCCCAACTCTTCCCAGAATCCCTTTCTTCCCTAAAATGAGGAATGTAGAGCATCATGGGAAGTTCTACTTTAGCATCGGTTTGACAAATCAGGAAATCTTTTAGCAGCAGCATCAAACTGGGCAGGAAGTCAAAGTGGACTCTGGTTGCTGATTGGTGGAGCTGGTCCCCCCCACCCCCACCCCCCGCTCCCTTTGTTTTGGAAAAATAAAATGTGTTTCTTTCATTCTAAGAGAGTTTTTCATGAATTTATTATAAAAACACTTATTTCCTTAATATATTCGGGCAGGTTGGGGTTTCTTGTCATTGTATTGACATTCATTTATGCCATCAAAATATCCATATTTTCTGTTGAATATTCCAAAGGTAAGGTCTAAAAGGTCTAACACTACTGGTAACACTAACAGTATTTCACTGAGCGCCTTATAAAGGGCATGTTTTGATTTTAATAAATTCAGGAAACATCATAAACAAGGATTGAAAAATAAAGATCAGGGAGCTTTAAGGTTTTCATCAGATTCTGGTTCCTCTGCTGGTTTTTGCCCTGACCAAGATGGCGGCCGGTGGCAGCACTGAGTCCGAAAGCTAAAGCTAAAAACAATAAAAATAGGATCCCTGTCCAGGTTGGATCCTTTAGAACCGCATTAAGAACCAGAGGCAGTTACCGTGGGTCCACAGTCGCTCCCACAGTGACCTAAACTTACCCACGTCACGTGCATCCAACACGTCCCCCATGTCCGTGGACTGCTAGCTCTGCCCAGCTAGCTCAGGCTATAAACACAAGCAGCAGGGGCGAAAATAACTGGTTTTTAACTGGGTTGGTGGAACCAGCAAACCGCCTGGGCTACTGGCCAACTCTGATTGGTTAGTCCAACATGGTTCCAAACCAGTTTAATCCGCCTTTGATCCACAGCACTAACTCTGGATTATTAGCGGGAATCGAAGCTAATTTACGTCCAGCGTCCAGACGCCTATGGGCCAAACGGGCCGCCGTAGCATTATTACATGAGCATTGTTCCCTGACGTTTGCCTGACAGGCACACACACACGCTCTAGTCTTCCTATCTATAGTATAGGACCGCGTTTTCATTTCCATCAATTTTCACCCATTTTTAACCCTTTCTACCCCCGAACCCTGACAATAACCCAATAATCCGAATAATCCGAACCCTATTCCGAACTTTAACCCAATTCACAACCGTTTACAAAATAGAAACCGGATCAGCATAATTTCCTCAGGTAAAAAAACGTTTCCAGCTTAACAAAGAATCATCAGGATTCATTATAATCAAACATTGATCACATTAATGATCAAATGAACTTTAATACCGGATCGTCCTCATTATTCTAAAAGCCCAGTTCTCTGCCTGCCAGGCAAAACTCAGGGGAAATTATTTGGGAGGAACCTCGCGGGACGCCGTAGCTTTGCTTCTCTTACGAAATGACAACAAACATTCACGCGAGTCATAACTTTCATAAGCAGTTGTTATGAGCAGACCGTCAGTGAGCGACTGGGAGCTCCGGGAAGCTGCTGCTGGTTTAACTGGGAGGAGCAGCTGCAGGTCACTTCCTGTTGGGTTTTGTAACTGATCAGTCCTTTTATAACAGGAGAACAGGTGAGAGGGTTAGTTCACCTGTGTGATCACCTCAGGCTGGAGCAGTTTAGGCAGTAGAAGTGGTGCTTTCATCTGGTTCTCTGCTGGTTTCCATCCAGGCTGATGGGCTCTGCTCCTTTTCCTGTTGCAGGTGAAGCTGCTGGGCTGAGATGTCTGCAGTGAGGCGGTCGGTGGCCGAGGCCTTCTGGGCCATGTGTGCCGCAGACTCCATGTCCATGCCGGTCCACTGGTACTACAACATCCAGGACATCAGGAGAGACTTTGGAGGCTGGATATCTGGGTTCAACGCGCCTGCAAGCAGACACCCGTCCAGCATCCTCAGCCTGTCCAACACAGGTAGCGCCGCCAAACCACACCTGTCCCGCCTACATCTTTATGTGTTTATAGGCCACAGTATCCAGAACTCCAGGTAGGGTCTCCATCTTCACCCCAACGCCAACTTCTTGGTTAGATAACAGCTAGAACCGGTTTTTACCAGTTTAACCAGCACGGAGGTGGCAGCATCATCCTGAGGCTTTGTTTTCACTGAGGAGCTAAACTGAAATATTCTTTAAAATGATTTATGATTTCAGAGAAAAGAAAATCTGAGCGAACATAAGAGGAAGAGGTGAAAGGTTTCCATCTGGAACCGTAGATCTATGGAGCTTAGAATGAACCAAATCAAGTCGATGTTTACTGTGTAGATTTCTTTATGTCTGGTTTTCATTTCAGCACTGAGAAAAAAAGGTTTAATGAAGAACTGCTGAGTCATTTCTGAGAACATCCAGGGTCTTATTTCTGTTCAGAACCACAGAAGTCCACGTTCTCCAGCAGGCGAGGGTTCTAAAGGAAGGGTTCTAGGTTCTGTTGACTAACGAGCAGGTTCTGTTCCCCAGCTGGCAGCGGTCGGACCGCCTGGTCCTCTGGTGGACGGCGAGCTGACGTCGTCGGTAGCGTCATCCTTCATGACAAGCTGGAGCTGTGGCGGTCCTCCAACGGGACGGTCCACTACCACCAAGGTGCGTCTGGGGCGTCTGTCCGCCGGCGGCGGCTCTGAGTCTTCCTGGTCGGTTCCGGTCGGGCAGTCCCTCATCCTGTCTGGTTCTGCAGGTCTTCAGGCGGGAGACAACACCCTGAACGTCCTCTGCTCGCTGCGCGTAGCTCGGACCGTCGTCTCCAGCCGTGCCGCGGACGTCTCCCGGCCCGAGGTTCGCGCCGCCGTTCTGTCCGACTACGTGAAGTTCCTGACCACGCCCGGTTCGCACGCCGACACCTACGCCGAGTCCTTCCACCGCTCCTTCTTTGCCGACTGGCAGGATAGCAGACCCTCGTCTCCCAGCGAGGTAAACTAGAGCTTCTCTTCCAGATCCGTAAGGGTTCCACATCTGTTCTGACTCGGCTCTCTTCAGGTTCTGACGTTTGCGGAGAAACGATCCAAACGGATGCTGAGCTCTGGATCTCCTGACAGCCAGCTGGACGCCATCGGCTGCCTTCCCATGATCCTCCCCTTCGTCTTGTTGTCCGCTTCGGCCAACGAGGACCAGGCTGTGAGCGAACGCCATGTCCTCCGTCGACGGTTCCTCTGTTTTGTCTCCTCCTAACCTCCGTCTTTTCTCAGGTCTCTGCTGCCGTAGAGTTCGTGAAACTCACCCATCCTCACCCCAAAGTGCCCGAGTACGTGAGCATCTACGGCCGGGCCCTGCATGCAGTGCTGGGCGGGGCCAGCGTCCGGCAGCAGGCTGAGGACGCTCTGAGGAGGCTGGAGGCCTGGGACACCTGCCAGAGCTACAGCCGCAAAGCGGCCAGGTGCGTCTGAGCGAGCCCAGTGCTTTTAGATCAAACTAAAGGGACTCGGTGCTGACACGGCTGAATGTTCCAGGTTTCCTGCATCTTCTGAGGAGCGGCTGAAGGTCCATCAGAGCGCCGTGAACTACCTGGGCTTGGCCTGCTACAACAGAGGTCAGGATCCGTTTCCTTACTCCCTTACTAAGACTTCAGTAAAGAATAAACTATCCTGGTTTATTGTGGGATTTTTAATGTTCCGTCCCTGGCTGTGCATAAAGGACAACTGATGCCAGTACAATTTACACTAGCCAGTGGGGTGGCCAGTGGGGAGGGCAATGGGGTGGCCAGTGGGGAGGACAGTGGGGAGGCCAGTGGGGCAGCCAGTGGGGAGGCAGTGAGGTGGCCAGTGGGGTGGCCAGTGGGTTGGCCAGTGGGTTGGCCAGTGGGGAGGCAGTGGGTTGGCCAGTGGGGTGGCAATGGGGTGGCCAGTGGGTTGGCCAGTGGGGAGGCAGTGGGTTGGCCAGTGGGGAGGCAGTGGGTTGGCCAGTGGGGAGGCAATGGGGTGGCCAGTGGGGTGGCCAGTGGGGCGGCCAGTGGGGCGACCAGTGGGGGGGACAGTGGGGAGGCCAGTGGGGAGGCAGTGAGGTGGCCAGTGGGGTGGCCAGTGGGTTGGCCAGTGGGTTGGCCAGTGGGGAGGCAGTGGGTTGGCCAGTGGGGTGGACAGTGGGGAGGCAGTGAGGTGGCCAGTGGGGTGGCCAGTGGGTTGGCCAGTGGGGAGGCAGTGGGTTGGCCAGTGGGGTGGACAGTGGGGAGGCAGTGGGTTGGCCAGTGGGGAGGCAGTGGGTTGGCCAGTGGGGAGGCCAGTGGGGTGGCCAGTGGGGAGGCAGTGGGTTGGCCAGTGGGGAGGCAGTGGGTTGGCCAGTGGGGAGGCCAGTGGGGAGGCAGTGGGTTGGCCAGTGGGGTGGACAGTGGGGAGGCCAGTGGGCTGGCTATGGGGTGGCCA